AATTTCATCTTTTAGATATAACTTGTTCCAATAACTTTCCAATTCATTGAAAAGTTCATTCGTCCAACCAATAGCTTCTTGAGTGAATTTTGGTGCCAAAATTGCTTGTGTAAAGAATTGACGATTATACCTCCATGATTTCAAATCATGATTCGCCAGTAACCCTTTCCCAATCACTCCCAATTCTGCTAATCCTTTGCTGTAAGGAAATCTCATCATGTATTGGCTCTTCGTTGAAGGCATCAATAACTTCTCAACGTATTCTGTACGGCTAAGGATTATACGTCGAACTCCCAAGTGAACTTCGTAAATGTCACCATAAGTTTTTTGATTACTTTCCGAAAATTCTTTTAAATTTCCGCCATGATATAGTAGGAATTGGGGTAGATTCCCAAATAATGGAAATGGGAATGGACCAGGTAAAGGATTAACGCGAGTGAAATACGTGTAATAATACTGCGCCACGTATATCGCTAATATGATACCTGTCAACGAAAGGTAATCATGAATCACAAAATTTTCTAATAATTTATGAAGGGGCATACTTTGTTTTTTGAAAATGAAATTATGTAAATTTGATTTCTTTTTCTGTTTGTATTTTAAATATTTAAAATTGAAAGTGCAAATTAGATCTTTATATCAAAAAAAAATGATGCGGATAAATTTTTCCCGCTCAAAATTAATTCTGCATTCCGACATCATGAGGTGACACAGAATCGATCCGAAGAAAATCCGATGCCGAGATGTTCTTTATTGATTTTTGGCGGCTAAATTTTTGCCGAAAAATCAAAATCATGCATTTGTTGATGTAAATATTACTCAAAATTAGTAGCAGCAGCAAACAAAGAATTTTCTAAAAATATGAATATTGATAATTAAAAAAAAAAATTATTTCATTAGCGTAATGAGAAATAATTTCGATGTCCTTAACACGAAGAATGTAAAAAAAATGAAAAATACTGATAATATATTAGTGTAACAGCAACGCATGAAGCAATGTACACCAAAAAAAAACCGAAACACGTTGCAGTAACACCTATAAATTTATGTTGAAATAATTTGGACACCTCTGAATTGCCTTTATAGAATAGGCTCACAAGGATAGTTATTTGGTAGAAGCCCATTCATTATTCTGTTATGAGGTATACCAGAAGAAAAGTTGATTGGCTATTGAGCGATACAGTTCCAAAAGAAATCTCCAAATTTGGTTAATATTTGGTAACGTTATCATGAGAGTTATATTTGGGTTTGTGCTGTTTTTGGAATTTGTTTATTACGCAGACTGCTGACGAGGAAATATCTAAATCGCAATTAAATTGTGTTTGTGTGGTAGAAAAATAGTATTATCCTACAGATTTTCACAATCACCCAGGTCTAGGTTTCGTGTGCGACTGCGAGATCAGTGCTGTTACTATGATTATCAGTGCGAAAAGAACAAGAAATTGGTTGCTCCAATTTCCAATTAAATACGTAAGCAATAAAAATTCTTCTAATTAAATGGACATAGTGTAATGTTAAATCACCACGAATCATCATTCAAGTGAAACGCCACTAAAAACTATAATTTCTCTTGATTCTGATGCACTCTCTTCTTCTATACTTTCATTAATATCAAATACAAGTAACCTTATCTTAACTAGTCTAGTTTCAATATTTTCTTTCGGGTTGCTCATTGACATTGTGAGATAATTATTTTTATGAATTTTGTGACATTTACGTAACCAGTGAACACCTGACCTGCTTACTGCGTCATGTCTATAATTTTTGTTTATACTAGGCGTACATATTTGGAAGGCTTGCTATTAAACCTCCCATTTATTTATTTTTTTTTTTATGCGTTAGTTCGTTAAATTTATCAAAAACAATCTCTAGAAGTATATTAATATTATCTTTGAGTTGATTGTCATTTTGAAAAATAAAACACCTAAAAATAATTTCAATAGTTATTCATGATCTTAGATTCATTTACTTGTATTGGCATTTCATACGTAATGTACGTTAACTCTCATCTTTTATTATATATACGAATAAAAATTCACAAAATAAACGTTTACCCTAAACTTCGTCTTGATGATAATAATTACCCCATTACCTACCTAAAGGTAAGTAAATCATTAGCATAATATTTTAATTTAAAATATTTAAGTGAATACGCGTCACAAAATGAGCCATTAAATGAGTCCCAACCAAAAAATGAGCAACCAAAAGAATATGAATTTCAAAATATATTAAATTCTCTCGAAAAAGAATCTAAAAAAAAAAAAAAATAAAATTTGCTAGAATAATAAAATTATTAATAATATATGATTAATTATCGGAAATAAAAATAATTTAATTGAAAAAAATACCGACCGTATCAGATCTATGCTGCGAAAGGTTTCTCCTTCCCTCCTAAATATCATCTCATTTGAAATTAAGCTCTTCTCAGAAAGAAAAGTAATTTAAGTGATTTAAATGCCTTGTCCAAAAGTTCTATACAACATTTTTGAAGTTGTTAAACAATTATATCGAAAGCTTTTGTTGAATATGTCTATTCATTCGGGCCTGTTTTTAACTAGCTTCTTTAAGGAGATGCTCATTAGCTGCATCCAAGACTTCAAAAATATCCTAGGTTTCACACTCATTAAAAATTTTTTTTCGATTTTTGTCGGTTAATCGAATCTATTTGACCGGTCTAATAATGGAATATTTTTTTATAATTCTTGTCATATATTCTATGAATTTTTTTTTCTGTAACTTTTATTTTTTTTTATTACACTTCGGATGGTTTGTTTGCTTAGTTCATTTTTAGTTTCATCTTTCATGTCAATAATTTTTATTTTTTTAATTTTAATTATTTGTTTGTTCGGTCGCAGCGATAAAATATTTTATTTTTTCACGCTTTAGAACTATCATGTTTTTCCTCTTTCGAGTTGGATCATTAGGCAATGATTATCATCATCATAATCATTATTATTATTGATCAATAAATTTTTTCTCTGATTCTAAATCCTTCATTAAATTTTCTTTTTCCTCGATGATTCCTCTTTTAATTTAAAGATTTAAGCTTTAACAGCGGGACGTTTGAATTACGCCTTTTTTTATTATTCCTCATGACCAATAAGAATACCTCTGAATTGAACCCAGTTATGTCTGACTCAACATCATCTAATTCAATAATTATTAAGCATACCACAGATCATCACTTATTTTCCACTTATTGTCAGAATCATCGAAAGCTTTCTTGTATCAATGTGAAATTCGTAGAATTGATGATCTATGTCATTATAATTGGCAAATATAATTATTAAAAGGTGTAATGATGCACTACGCGCTTCAGAGATATATTTGGAACAAGAAGCTCATCTTCCTGTAGTCGTAGCGTCTCTTAAGAAGTTTAAAAAAATTGTAACATGTGGTTGATCCTTCAGAATTTCATCAATTTCATGACGGAATCGAAATCCTTTCTCAGTTCTGAAAGTGATTAATGTAAAAAATACAATAAACAAGCTTAATTATCACCTGTTTATTTATTATATTTAATCGCATAAATGTTTCTTTTTAAAAAAAGGAAGTTAGTTAATACGATTTAATTTTGACAAATGGGTTGATTGCTAGGAAATCAGGTTCTGGGAATTTTTTAACAAAATTGAGATTTTTATTGCATTTTACTTTTTGATGATGTTATTAGATTAAAATGCATTAAGCTCTTAATTTTAGTCAAAATTTTCTCGGAACCTGATTTTCCTAGAAACTTCACATATGATGATTTTGGTTTCATTGACAATGTCTAAAAAATAAAAAATTGTGACGAACTATACTTGTTACCCATACTATATGGGTATGGGATAAAGTCCCAATCCCATTCCTTAAATTAAAACTTTAAAAAACAATATCATCATAATTAATGATAATAATTTAATGTTCATTAGCTTCATCTTTATGAGCAGATTCAAATGATTATTATTTTATTTCTGTGAGATATTGATTAAAATATACTTAAAAATATATTATAAATTAATGGGATTTAGGATTTGGGATTGGAATATGGGATATGGGATGGGATGGGATGGGATGGGATTCTATAGTATGAGGTATCGGCAGCAACTATATGACGAACCCTATTAACGTTATATATTCTTTCTTTTTTACTTTATTAGATTATATCTGCATATTGTTTTTTAAAAAATATGTATCTTATAAAGGTAGGTAATAATATTTTGCTGCTTGCTTAGCCAATATATATGGCATGTCACTTAAATATCCTGCGAAGAAATCGGCCAAGACGGCATGTATAACTTATTTGTAAATGTAATGTATATTATTACCAAGCCCTACAGAACCCGACTCTACTATCGATAAAGTTATAACATGAACTAAAAATTAAATAAAATGCAATTTTGAGCTTCGAACTCACAACGGTTTCCGTTTCCTAGTAATTATAATGATTGATGTCTGGAAATACGGCTAACCTATACTTCTTTTATTTTATTAACCCTTTTATAGGAATAATCTTTTGTGAAATTTCATAATAAAGCCTCTATTAAATTATTCTTCCTAATCATTCCCATTAATTTTTGTGATCAAAAATATTTCACAAATCTCTATTTCAAAATTATCTACAGTTTCTCTGATCGGTTTTTCGTAATCATTCATTTGACAACTACCATAAGAAGAGCCTATTGAAAGATCTGTTATACCAAATGAAAAATAATGAGAAAAAAAATGAAACGCTATAGCATGCTGTTCATTCTTTACTCTGCTTAAAATATGACTATTAATATCAATTATATCCTCAAATGAAAATATAAAACTATCTTTAGATGTTCTATAAGTGAACACAGAGTAAAATATAGTACCTCGAGGCCATGCGATTGGACTATATCCTCCAAGAATTTCGTCAGTTCCTTTCACTTTAATAATCGTTATAGTCGGAAATTTAGATGAGAAACGTACATCACCACCTTGAGAACGAGATAATAATTTGAATTCATATGAAGCGGTAATCTCGTCTGTAATTTCTAATTTTTCAATCCATTTTGTGATTAATTCTGCATGTCGATATGTAATAATACTTGATTCGATATTAACCTTTTTAGGTTCGATATTAATATTTCTAGATTCAACCTCTGATTCACCGCAATTACGCAACAAAGAAATAATCGTACTTTCAAATAATCCTTCGGGTATAATTCTCTTATATGG